TAGGAGGACAGTTCGAGTTTCCTCCTAATACTGTCCTAGTGAGTGCTGTGTATGCAGTATCACTCTCTGAGCCTCTCCTCAAGCGACTCAAGTTAGAGATACAGCACTGCATTGATTTAACAGGACGACCAGATCTTGCACAATACTTAAAGTTTGCTATAGCTCCAGTTGACACACCCAGTCTTCCTTACCAGTTCTCAATAGTTGAGGGAGGAGAGTTTAGTTCTAATGGTGGGTATGGATTCATTGAGCGTAAAGATTTCTGTTTGGTGTGCATACTGGGATTGCTAATAGTATCTATGACTGGAGGAGGAGGAGGAGGTCAGCAGCAACAAGGAACAGGATCTCAAGGAGCAGGTATAGTACCAGCTCAGGGAGGAAATGCACCTGTCCCTCAACAACAACCAGTAGTTAACCCACAAACCCAAGGAGAGCAGTCACAAGAAGGGGAACCATTACAGACACATGAAGGACAACAGGAACAAGAAGCTCACTTGCAAAACGGAGATCAATCACTGTCACAAGATGGAGAGCAAGAGGAAGGAGACCTTCAAAGAGAAGAAGAAAACCAACAAGAAGGGGAAGGAGAGAGGGAGTCACAGGAACTGCCAAAATCATTGGAACTACAGCAGCAGACTAAAGATGGTAAATATATAGTCTAATATTGATACTGTATGTATTGTGTATTTTAGTACTAGAAGTACAGTCCACTGGTGTAAAGGAGGGAACAAATTATACTGGACTGGTTTATTATGAGGAGAAAGGTGCAGAGGACTTAATCACTTTTACTGCAGCTAAGAAATTAGATGCTCTCCTTGAGGTAATTTGTATATGTATAGACATGGAATTCATTACTAGTGCAGTTTATTAAGAAAGAATATCCTCAAGCTAAACTAGATCTCAATGTATGCTTCCGTATTGCATCTCCTGATGGTTTTGTTGAATTAAATTTAAATGCTCCACAAAAGAAGTCTTATAAAGGATGGACTATTGATCCTCGCATGACACCTTGCAGAGTATGTTATACTATATACTGTATACTTATTAATTGTTACTTCTATTTTTAGTTGTATCAAGATGATATTAATAATTTTGGTGATAAAGATTATTCTCTTCCTCCATCTTGTCCAATATCAGTGTATGGATCACCTGATGCTGTTCCTACACTAAATTACTCTGTACCACTGGAAGGTGTGGTTCGTCCTGTTACACTATATATTCGTAGATCACTGAGAACAAAAAGTAATGAATAAGTCATTTTAATTGTTTATTTATTTTAATATTAATCAGATCTTACTACCTCCTCCTCCTCTTCTAATACAATTACTGAAGGTACTGCATCATCCACTGGAGGAGCTAGTAAGTAACAGTGTGTGTGTGTGTGCATGGTTTGTGTGTTGGGTTGTATTAACCTTTGATCTTTATTAGGTGCATCAGCTACTGTCGATGTTGATAGAGTAAAGAAAGTGATCAATGATGTTCTTGTATCTCATTATGCCAGACTTAATTGTTTACCTAAAAAGTCTCTTATGGGTCTTGTTAGTCAGTTGTTCACAGCTAAGCTTATTAGTAATGAAGTTAGAGGAGATCCTTCAATGGAAGATTGCATTGATGAGTTCAAGGCTAGCCTTGATTGTAAAAGGAAGTTGCCTCAAGTGCAGGAGCACTGTCAAAAGTTCTTAAGCTCATTCATTGCTGTAAGAGGCAGTTATGCTGATGCAGCAATAGCTTT